TCAATCCTCACATTCAGGATATTCTCTGCAAAGAAGTTAATTCTGTAATGGATTCCAACGGAGAGATAATATATGAAGAGTTGGCAAAACTTCCGTATTTGGATTCAGTCATCTCAGAGACACTTAGACTTCACTCTCCGGCCCAACGTATATCACGATTGGCCACAACTGACTATCCTTTGGGCGAAACCGGCATCACATTGAAAGCCGGACAACAAATTGATTTTCCCATATATGCGATCCACACATCGGAAGAATATTACCCCAAGCCATTTCAATTCAACCCTGATAGATTTATGCCAGAGAATAGGCATAATATAATTCCGTACACTTATTTACCCTTCGGCGCCGGTCCTCGCAATTGCATTGGTATGAGGTTTGCATTACTCGAAGCAAAGTTAGCGTTGGCTCATATCGTCACGAAATACAAGTTTCTTCAGACGCCTAATACAGACGTTCCGATTAAGTATAAGAGATCGTTAGGTCTGACGGCTCCTCAAAGGCTTATTGTGGGCATTGAGAAGAGATTGTAAACTATTTGAGAGTTATTTTATTCTAAATTTGTAATTACCAGCTCCTGGTAAATGTTTTCATTCTATAATATATTATATTTAATACAAATATTGTACATATTACTAATATTATATAATATAGGTGATAAGGATATTAATGTGATTTATGTTAATAAATGGTGTTTAATTAATAAACTCTTAAATTTATTTTATTCCACAAATATATCTAATTTTAAATTAAAGATAGAAAACTAATTTCTATCAATTGTAAATATTATTAATTATCTCTATGTTTACGTTAATGAATCAAATAATCTATTGTTGTAAGTAAATTGCTTTAGACGTATGCAATTTTGGTACACTTTAGTCCTAATTATTATCATTATTTTTCTATTTTATCAAACAATAATGTTTTTGTATATAATATACATAGCCTGAGCACCCGTTTTTAACATGTACAAAATTTAGTAAAAGTCTTTAGACATTTCATTACATTTTTAATAAAATAGGTTAATACTGTAAATGTATTGTATGTGTATTTTTTAATTAATTCATATGATTTAAATTATATAACAATGACTCAATTATTTGCCAAATATAGTTATTTATCAAAATATTAATAAAATTACTTATTCTGTATGTAATGAAATCAAACAATTTAACTATTGATTATAATTAATGATAAATATATTTACTGTACTGATTGTACTTCACTACAAATTCAATGTCTAAAATCCAGACTCTGGTAACACATTTTGATTTTCCATTGAAAATTTACACGAGTGCTCAGAACTGCTCAACACTTGATAATAATTTTATATCACAAATACTATATAAGTGATTGTAATGTTTTTTAATGTTACATTTGAAATATTCTCTTAATTTTTATAGATTCAAACACTATAAGTACAGTTATTACATATAAACATAAATATCAAGGTCGTTTAAATGATATAATTTGATTATTAACTAATGATAACGTTAAATATAATACTGTAGTTGATTGTATAACGTATTTATTTCTAGACATAAATTAAATAATAATAACTGTCGAGTTGTGTCGAGTTGACATTGTTCATTTTGGTTTAAGTGAAATATTTGTTGTCTATTAAATTACCTCCAATTATGGTTTTCTTATGGCTAGTTTTGAGCGTTATATCTATTATACCGTTTATTTATTGGTAAGTTTGATATGAAAAATATATTTTGTTAAATTAACAACATTTAATATCTAGGTATTTAACTCGAGACTACAACTATTGGTCAAAGCGCGGTATCAATGGCCCAAAACCACTGCCAATATTCGGTAGTCTTTTGGATTTCTTTATTATTCCTCAACCCTTACAGGAAATCAATTGGTTTAAGAAATACGGAAAAATCTATGGGTATTTTCATTATTGACTTACTTTATAAGACAATAACTATTTGTTTAATAAATCTATTTATTATTGCATACAAACAGCTATTACTTCCTGAAAAACCCGGTGCTTACGATAGCTGATCCCGAGTTAATCAAAACCATTTTGGTTAAAGACTTTCACGTATTCACTGACAGAAGGTTTCAACAGCTGAAGAGCCGACACCCGGTTATGAGTAAGAATATGGTGGACGCGACCGGCGATGACTGGAAACGGATCCGATCCATAGCCAGTCCCACCTTTACTTCGGGCAAAATGAAGTCAATGTATCCCAGAATTAGAGAGTGTTTATCAGACTTTATGAACCATTTGGAGACATTTGCCGACAATAAGACTGAGCTGAACGCGAAGGACATGTACGGCAACTATACGATGGATGTGATCGCCACGTGTGCCTTCGCCACCAAAACCGATGTCCACAAAAATCTTGACAGTCTTTTTGTACTCAATGCGAGACGAGTGTTCAATTTTAACTTGTTCAAATTGCTGTCAATGATTATATTACCAGCTTTTGTGGTGAAAAAGCTGAATCTGAGCGGTGCCGGCACTAACACTGGCACTGAATTCTTCCTAAACTCCACAAAACAAATCATTTCGACCCGAAAACAGACAAAGAAAAAGTACAACGATTTCATACAATTACTTATGGATGTGGAGAAGGGCTCGGATGACGAGCGCAGGGATGAGACGGATGTCCACGAATCGCATCACGTGAACGAAGGTTTGATTGCATTCATATGCAAAATGAATTATAAAACTAAATCAATGATTGAATCCGTGTTTAGGAAAGGATGAGTTGGAGAGCGAGAAGAAGGCATTCAATATTCAGCTGACAGACAAACATTTGACGGAAAACGAAATCCTGGCGCAGGCGTTGATCTTCTTTCTGGCCGGTTATGAGACAACGGCCACAACACTCACGTTCTGTACGTATGAATTGGCACTCAATCCACACATTCAGCAAAGACTTTACAAAGAGATCGTGGCTTCGGTCGACTCCGACGGAGAGATCAGTTACGAAGAGTTGGCAAAACTCCCGTTTTTGGATTCAGTTCTTTCCGAAACATTAAGACTTCACTCTCCGGCACAACGATTGGCACGACTGGCCTCTACTGACTACAAGTTGGGCGACACCGGTATTACCCTATATAAGGGACAGATGATTGAGATTCCTATATATGGTATTCATCACTCGGAGGAATATTACCCGAATCCATTTCAATTCAACCCTGATAGATTTATGCCAGAGAATAGGCATAATATAATTCCGTACACATACTTACCCTTCGGTGCCGGTCCTCGCAATTGCATTGGTATGAGGTTTGCATTACTCGAAGCGAAGTTAGCTTTGGTTCATATCATAAAGAAGTTTCGGTTCGTGCGGACTGTCAATACAGACGTCCCTCTCGTATACAAGCGTTCATTTCGTTTGGCGTCTCCTAAAAGACTATTAGTTGGGATCGAGAAAAGACAGCAATAATTAATCTGTAATACTGTTAAAAATAAAATAATTTTGAAATACTTACAAATTAGATTAGTTTTTTTAATCAAAAACATAAAATTTATGTAAACTTAAAATTTATAATTGACTTAATATCGACAAAATTAATCTATTTGTGAACTTGGAATTAAATGACATACAGATAAATAAGTAATATTTTTAAAAACATATAATTTTATATCAATGGTTATCAAAAAGTTCATATAATATTTACGATAAGTTTTAAGAAAAATATCAAATAAATTACTTATTAATAATATTCAATATACAGAATCAATTAATGATTGATATATTTAAAGGTCTATCAATTATAAATACTTAATTAATTATTAAACTTAAAAATTTTACAAGTATATAAATAGACCGATTCCTGATGATATTATATTAAACATTGTATTATAAATAAATACAAATATTCTATACTATATCAAACAATTTAAAATAACTAATAAATTATTAATTAATACTGTAGTTATGGACAGTATATTATATTTTTGGTCATTCCTTTCTATCTTAGCAACAATTCCGTTGATCTATTGGTTGGTGTTGTTTTGTTATATAATAATTATACATAAGCATACAATATGTAATGTTTCTTTACTTATAATCTATTCTTTACTTATTATATATTATTATTACAATATTATAATACAATAATCATATTATGTGATGAATTGTTGTAATTTTATTTGCATTTATCTGAAGGTATTTAACGAGAAATCATAATTATTGGACGAAGAGAGGAGTGAATGGCCCGAAACCGGTCATTGGTTTTGGTACTATTATATACCAATTCTTTAGGGAACGCTCTTATATAGAGTTAGATTGGATTCGCAAATACGGCAAAATCTATGGGTAATTGATTACATTTACGATTCATTACTAAACACTAATTTTGCTAAAAATATTTCAAATATGTTATAAACTACAGAGTGTTTGAGGGAAATACGCCAATCCTGTCGGTGGCCGACCCGGAGCTCATCAGAAAGATTTTGGTGAAAGACTTTCACGTATTTAACAGTAAGAAGACTAACACACTATTGGAGTCTCGGGCGCACCCAATACTCGTCAATAATCTGATCGCCACTAATGGCGACCAATGGAAACGCTTGCGATCCGTAATGACTCCCGCCTTCTCGTCGGCGAAGATGAGGAAAATGTATTCAATGATCAAAACGTGTTTAAATGAGTTATTGGATTCTCTGGACGTATACGCCATCGACAACAATGAGGTCGATATGAAGACAATGTACGGCAATCTGACAATGGATGTGATCTCTTCGTGTGCTTTTGGCACTCAAACCAATTCACACACCGATCCTAACAGTGTGTTTGTGACTAATGCTAACAAATCCCTTAATCCGAAGCCCTATCGACTTCTGCTGTCAATTATGTTACCAAAAGTTGTGATGAAATTATTTAATATGAAACACGCCATCGAAGAGTCGGCCAATGAATTCTTCTTCACAATTGTCCGACAGATAATGAATGGCCGGAAAAATAGTAAAAACAAATTCAACGATTTCTTAGATTTATTGATAAACTTAGAGAAGAACGACAATAATGAAGATCACAATGAATCGCATATGAATGCAGGTATTCTTAATATATTTTAAAATTTTGCGAAAATAGAAATTAAATTTTATAATTTTGTTTTTAGGAGAAGAAGAAAAGACAATACCAAAGAAGACGTTGTCTGATGTGAACCACTATATAACTGAAGACGAAATACTGGCGAACGCGTGGATCTTCTTTCAGGCCGGATATGAAACGACGGCAACGACTCTAACGTTCGCAACGTATGAATTGGCACTCAATCAACACATCCAACAGAAACTATACGAAGAGATCCAGACATCGGTCGACAGTAAAGGGGATATTGATTACGATTTATTGACAAAACTTCCGTATTTGGATGCAGTCATCTCAGAGACACTTAGACTTCACGCCCCGTCTGTCAGAGTGGCCAGAACTGCATCGGAGGACTACCGGTTGGGCGACACCGGTATCATCATTAAAAAGGGACAGTCAGTAGAGGTGCCCATTTACGCTATGGCTCACCTTGATGAATTCTTCCCAAACCCCGAGTCTTTCATTCCCGACCGCTTTTTGCCAGAAAACAAGCACAATATAGTGCCCTATACTTACCTGCCCTTTGGTGGCGGTCCCCGAAACTGTGTGGGAATGAGGTTCGGTCTAATGGAAGCCAAGTTGGCGTTGGCTCACGTGGTGTTGAGGTACCGGTTTATCGAGAGTATCCGCACCGATAGACCCATACAATTGTTACGCAATCTCTTCCTTCACACTCCCAAACGTGTGGTCGTAGGCATACAAAAGAGATAATTATTTAGTTTTGATCATTTATTTTCACATTATATACACGATGTAAATGTTTTACTTTTTATCAGTCAGTTATCAAGTCAAATTACACAGCACAAATTAATACAGTTGTAAAATTACAATTAAGTTTTAGTTATTATTTACTAGAGTGCATTTATATAGGTGATGTATCAATTATACTCAAATTGTAATGTTTGGGTTTATGTTTGTAATAATTTATTTGATATAGTTCATTCGGTTATTTTGGTACAAATAAACGCTGACATTAAATGCATAAATTGTAGAAAAATGTGTCTTACTTAAAATTTAACACGATTAATAAAATTTTACACTGATTATAATTTAAATATTATAGATATAGATATCAAGTTATTTTAGCTCTTGTTTAAGATTATATAATCAAAATTCTTGTGCTGTGTGTAGATTTTGTATTATAGAAGATTTTTTTACAAAAGTTGTGTATTTTGAAATCATATACATACGAAATATTGACAAATTATTAATAAATCCTAATCTACATACAGCACAAGAATTTTGATTATATAATCTAAACAGATGAAAAAATAACTTGATATCTATTTCAGGAATTTGTTTTAAAATAAGTTTGAATTTAGCATTATGTCAATGGAAAAAAAGATAAAATTCTGCTTGATTGGAGATTATAATTAAAATAGGAGGTCTAGCATGTTGATAATATCACAACAAAAACTTCCGTAGTTGATGAGTATTTTGATATATCATTTGAATTACTAAACCAATCACCTTTCGAGATATTCGACTTTATAATGTTATAGTCCAATAAAAAACACCCTGTAGTTATAAAGCAATCACCATATTTTATAATCAAAGTTATAATAATTAATTTGTATAACGTCTGTAAATTGTTTGAATGTAAAACGACAACAAAATGCATATTAAAAATCATACAAAAAGTATAATTAATAAATCATATGCATTTTATTCTCGTATTCGCCCAAAGAAAAACAAATTACAGATTAATATAACAAATAAATATGTTATATAATTAATGAGATCATATAGTAAATGGCAGCCACCATGATCACTTATGCTTCGATTCTTCTTATGTTAGTCATCTTAAAGGAAAGACAATTACACCACAACTCACTCATTCAACGGCAGACATGGAATGACCGGTACGACTACATAGTGGTCGGCGCCGGCAGTTCCGGATGTGTTGTCGCCTCACGACTGGCCGAAGATACCAACAAAACTGTACTTTTGATAGAAGCCGGAGGGGCTCAGGACTTGGCCAGCGATGTTCCTGGTATTCACAATAATATACATGTTTATATTTTAATTTATATCATTTTAATTAATAGTAAAATTAATAAATTGTAAATAATTTTATAATAAAATTGCTTTCATTATTATATAGCGCTACAAAAGACAATGGTTGGCTCATTAATGGACTGGAAATACCCGACAGTTTTTCAACCGAACGCATATAAGGCCATAATAGGCCAGAAGGAAATACTAATCAGGGGTAAAGTATTTGGAGGGTCGTCATCGATAAACTCGTTAAATTACTACCGAGAACCTCACAGCTACTTCAAAACATGGGAAAACCTGACCAAAGTCAAAACTTGGACCCACAACCATGTGTTTCCGTATTTCTCCAAATCGGAAAACAATCTGGATTTCCGTTTAGTGGCCGACTATCCGGAGCTGTACAACATGGGTGGCCCCCAGTCTATCAACACCATAGCGCCCGACGCTATACTGGGCCGTTACTTTAAGAATATGCAAATGATGGGCTACCCGATCAATGACCCTGATGGCTTCAAACCGTTTGGCACGACCATGCTGCGCCGCACGGTGATGAACGGTGTCCGCCAGTCATCGTCCCTATCATATTTGGAAAAACTCCCGAAGGTCAATCTGCACACTTTGGGCGACGCTGAGATCACTCGAGTGCTCATTAATCACCGCAAGCGGGCCATTGGTGTTGAGTTCTTTCGCAACGGAAACTATCATAAAGTGTACGCAAACGAAGAGGTTATTGTCAGCGCCGGTGCTATCGGCAGCCCTAAAATCTTGATGCTGTCAGGCATCGGACCCAAAGACCATCTCCAGGAGCACAACATTACGGTTCTGTCGGATTTAAAAGTAGGTTACAACTCGGTGTCAACCATTGGTGTGATGATTAAGTTTGATATCAAAGACCAGTCACTGATTCAGAAACCTGTAGAAAATCTTGAAAACTTTTACAACTATATCATACATAATAAAGGGCCCCTGGCCTATAAGGGCTCGGCACTCGCCTGTTACCCAGAGCATCCGCTACCCGGTTATACCGATGTGACCCAAGGGTGCGCTCTACCCCGTACGGACGTGTTGGGAGGGGATCTGGATAAGTTGGTTATTCAATACAAGGACAAAGACGCGTGGCGTGAATACTATCGGCCATATTTGAACCGATCTTACATAATATGCTCTTCGGTGCTCCGGCGGCCTAAGGCAACTGGACGCATAAAACTAGCTAGCTCAAATCCATTTGACACACCATTAATTGATCCTTGTATATTTTGCGACCCCCAGGATCTTAAAAACTTTGTCAACGTGTTTAAAACAACCATAAACACTTATACCACTCCCTATATGAAACAGTTTATCGAGCCGTACGCCAAACCAATACCTGGCTGTACGCCCTGTAATGAAGCTTATTTTTGTGACTCGTATGTGACGTGTATTACAGAGCAATTGGCGCATACGGCCACCCCTATGGGCGGCAATCGTATAGGCGTTGCCGGAGACCCGAACGCTGTGGTCGATGAAAAACTTCGGGTGTTTGGTGTGTCCCGACTCCGGATAGTCGACACCAGTATAATACCGGTGCCGACAGAACAGGGCAACGCCTTAGGCATTATGATTGCCGAATACGCTTCTGCGATGATTAAGGAGGATTATAAAGATATGAAATCCAATTTTAATTAATTGTTAATATAATTGCAATTTGTTTTATTTACTCAGTCAACATAATCTGTCCGCGCGGTTTGTGTGATTACAGGTAAACTAGAAGAACTAATTAAAATCTGTAAAAAGTAAAATAAAGATTCACATGTCTAGTTTATTGTGTTTAAAAATTAGTGAAATCACGTGATCACAACAGAAATTTTTGGCTAAAATCGATTTGTCCTGGTTTTTGCTCATCTCGAGGGGGGCTAGGAAGAGGGCCGGTATGCTAATTTATAGAAGAAATGTCAAAGACTATGATAGCAAAATTTCATAAAATTACAATGAATATTCTTTTGTAGCAAACAAAAAATATAAAAAAATCGACATAATATTTGAACAAAAATAATCCAATTTTGACTTTGTATAGTACATTTTCGTTGTTATAAAATGTCCACTTCAAAATAATATTTTTCCTATGGACCTAATGTTAATAAAATTAACAATTTCTCGTAGTTGGTTAAATGGATTTATATCAAATTTTGCATCATAATGAAATCACGTGATCACAACAGAAATTTTTGGCTCAAATTGATTTGTCATGTTTTTGCTTATCTCTAGGAGGGCTAGAATGGGAGCCGGTATGCTAATTTATAGAAGAGACGTTAAAGACTATGATGCAAAATTTGACTTAAATCCATTTAACCAACTACGAGAAATTGTTAATTTTATTAACATTAGGTCCATAGGAAAAATATTATTTTGAAGTTTATTGTTGAATTTTTATGAATGTTATTTATTATTGAAATAGTTAATTTACTTTTCATTTTAATCAACGAAACATTCACTAATTTTAAACAAATTTGATAAAACTTAAGTATTGTTTTGGTTTATAAACAGATTTCAAAATTTAACGACATCACATGCATTGCCCGGAAACAAAGTGACCACTTTAACTACTTTTATACATTTACATGTAGTTATGTATGAGTGATGATTACTACTAAAATCCCTTAAAATAAGTACTCTGTTGGCACCAAGCCTCAGGAATTAAGGGATTTTTGTTGTAATCATCACTTGACGAAAAATTTAAAGTCAACGAATTGTAATCGATTGATTTAAAATATACTGAATTTTGTCTTGTGGTCAGTACTGAAAGCAGTAAAACAAGTCATGTGTTGAGTACAGCACATGCTTTGCTCGGACCTCGGCTTATCTGCATTTTAAATCCTTTTATCACAATCTTTATCAACAGATACACAACACATGTAGATGTGTTTGAGTGAAGATTTCAACAAAAATCCCTTAATTCCTGAGGCATGGTTGGCACAAAATGAGTTACACCCCGAGTAAGTTATTGAACAAATAATTGAGAGAGTGATTGAGAATATGAAAACTAATTTTGCACATTATTTTTACAAAAAAATTTAATTAAAACAACTAAATTCACTAAATATAAACAATCTACCACACCAGTTATTTGCGTACAACATATTTGAATGCATAAAGATGATTATAAATGGTGTATAAAGTATGATACCCTCCAATACCCTCGTTTACCCAGTTTTACCTGCCCAGCGTGCCTATATCAAACGCCAGTCGAATAACTCTAAAAATATTCTAAATAGAATATTTTGGATTCCAGATTCTAACTCAGCAATAAATTCTACATTGATCCCGAAGTGCGAGAAGAGTTACCCCGTGGAATTTAAGACACTTCCTACTTTTTGGTCCATAAGTTATGCTTATTATGCGTGAATTATAAGCACCCAAAAAAAATTTTAAATTGTGGCCACAATTATGAATAAAGCATTGACTTTTAGGTGACAAAAACCAGTCTTAAAGTCACTATAAAAGTTACTTAAAAAATGGCTAAAAAGTTGCTTAAAAGGTGATAAAAAGTTATAAAAAAGTTATCTATTTTGCACCGAAATAATGCATTTAAAGGTCAATAACATTCGTTTTTGAATTAAATGATATCACAAAGTATTATTTGAAGTTTGTCGGTTTCGAAATTCATTCGTCTATCGTTTAACAACTGTTTATAAACCGAAAAACGTTTAATGAAATGCCGATTATGACTAAAAACTATTACTTAAAAATTTTAATATCATTTTACACCTATTTCCATTTTTGACTCATTGAGTATTTTGTAATTTATCAATTAATAACGTATAAAATTTGCAAAATAGGCGAAAAGTTACTAACGGTGCTAACGTCTCAAAAGGTGCTAAAAAGGTGAAATAAAAATCTTCCAAAATACTCCTAATGTGGTATATGGTGTGCCCCCAAACTTTCAGGAAATTCTCCGCTTTCGGAACAAAAAGTTTTTTAACTTCAAATCAATGCTTTAATTATGAATTATTGTTGTTCATATTTTAATATATGTTATTTACAAATATCTAAAATGTAAATTAACAATTCTTTTATATCTTTCATATTTTTAATTTTATACAAAATTTAATAACTATGCGTGACTTATAAGCGCTACCTTATGACGCTAAATAGTCACAATAATAGTTTTAAAAAACATGCCATATATTTAATAATAATTTTTTACATTTTTATGGCAAATTTTGGCTAAAACTCAATATTTCAATTAACGATATTTTGTGTTTAGATTAATATTTTTCAAAATTTTTTTGTACTAACATAATCAGCATTCATAGTAGTATCTAAGAATATAATTCAATGTATTTAAATCTAATTTTATTTTACCCTCCCATAGGTTAACATGCAAAAATAGGTCATTTTTGTTCATTTATTGCATAAAAACCTGTAATGCTATCATGATGGTTTTAAGTTTGTGCAACACTGTGACACCTCCTTTATAAACCCCTAGCCCCCACCCCTCCTTACTATTACCACAATAGCAAATAAGTATGGGTTCCGAAAATTACCCATTTTTCAGAAATAATAATCACGTGACTGAAAAAATATTTTTGCTATAAAATTTTCCCGATATGAATCTATATATGTGTGAAGCAACACTAGTGTCACCTAAGCGGTTCCCGAGTAATCGTCAAATTCCGACGGCCAAATTTTATTGGACACCCTTATATGTTTATTTAAACCCTTCGAACCATTTATAGTTTATATAGGGGTAGTATTTAAATATTGGTATATTTTGCAAATCATATAATTACAGTATACATTCGATATAGTGGTCGAGCAATTAACAAATATTTATGAACACTGTATAGAACTTTTAATAATTTACATGTGCAAAAACTCCAATAGACTTGCATAAAAGCTGAAAATCCAATCTAGGTATAGAATGGTTACTAGTGATTGAAACATTTTAATTTTTCAGTGTCGTTGCCACTGAAATTTTGTGTACTATTAATGTAATTTCTAATTTATTTTAACGGTTTTACTTTATGATACTTACAATTCACGTTTATTTGTTGCACAATATTTTTATTGATCAATAATAGATATTAAGTTAACCAGGATTAAATTACAATACTATGCCTATGTACTAATATTATGCCATATGGCATCAGCTTTATGCTAAATATTGTAAAATAAAACTATTGTACTTTATAAATATAATGGTTAAGCCCATAGTTTATTGCTAGTTGAATTAATATTTCAAAAACAATTTGCTTTCTTAAAAATAAGTTGTTTATTACAAATGAAATCAATTGTAATACTGATTGTGTTATTTGGTTGTAGTTTAGCCCAAAATGGTAATTATTAGCGTTAATCTTTAAATTATATTTATTCAAATAAAATTTATTTAAATCATTAGTTTCAAGATATGTTCGCTTAAATAACGGCATCGACTGTCCGATAGTTGGATTGGGAACCGGTGGTAACAGAACCGGAGGTCCGCCGCAGGGAAAAGTGGCCATTCAGTCGATTCACGACGCTATCGATTCCGGGTATAGACATATCGACACCGCAATTGACTATCAGAACGAGAAGGCCATCGGACAGGCGGTCACTGAAGTGTTGGCCAAAGGAGTGATCAAACGGCAAGAGTTGTTCATTACAACTAAACTGATGCCAAACCCAACCAACACTCGGGAGGAAACGCTAAAATCAGTTCAATTGTCGATACAAAACCTGAACACATCATACGTGGACTTAATGCTCATTCATATGCCATCCAATGATTTGGCCGTCAATGACAAAGTGTGGTCAGCTCTGGAGGAAGCGGTCGCTCAGAAGCTAATCAGATCTATCGGTGTTTCCAACTTTAATGCTCAACAAATTGATAGTCTGCTGAAGAATGCGAAAGTAGTTCCGGCGATGCTTCAGGTGGAGAGTCATCCGCAGGTCAATCAAAGACAACTTATCAGTTATAGCAATAAACATGGTATACATTTGACCGCATACTCGCCATTAGGCGCCGGAACTCTCATAAAGAATCCAACGATTGTTGAAATTGGCAAAAGTCATAACAAGTCTGCGGCGACAGTAATGATCAGATGGCAGGTCCAGAGGGGTGTCGTCGCCATTCCTAAGAGCCTTAAGTTAAATTATATCAAAGAAAACATCGATGTCTTTGACTGGACTTTAACTGACAACGAGATGAAAGTATTGGAAGATATGAAATAATGTAAATATTTTAAATTAAATTTAATTCAATTATTAATTATGATTATTATTATCCAATCGGCCAAACAAAACCTGTCCCCTCCGAAACCGCTATATCTTCTAAACGAAATGAGTTAGATCAAATCTGTAAAGTGAATAATAGTGTTACAAATAACAATTTTAAAACATTCGAGCAAGTGTATTTCGAGTGTCTGCCTCCCATTAAAAAGTGTACAAGTGTAAACAACTACTAGGTAGTGATAATTTGTTGACAAAAATAATCAACAAATTACTTGTCAAATCTTTCTATATATTACATTTTTACACCCAATCTCACTGTAGGTGTATAGCCAACACCACAGCATTGTCTCTGCATTTTGTCTCTCTCACACTCGCTTTGACTCTCTCCCATAACCTCTCTCTATCACTCTCTTTGTGTCCCCTAACCTCCCTCTATATCCCTCTCCCACATAACGTATTGCGGTGTTGTTTGAAGCCATGCCTTGCATTCAATTACAATGCATTCAAATGCAAGGCATGACTTCAAGCACACCATTGGTATCACTGCCAGCACTGCCGACACTACCATTACTGGCCACGTATGGACACCACCCGCCCGTTGGACACCCGATCGGTTAGTGAGTTAGTGAGTGGGGAGAGAGAGAGAGAGAGAGAGAGAGAGAG